TCAGTCAACTAATATTAGAAGGTGAGGAGGCTGCCTCTCTGGCCCGGTCTCTCTCTCTTTCTCTCTCTCTCTCTCTCTCTCTGCCCGTGTTACGATACCTCTCCACCCTCTCTCATTCGCTTTCTTTCTCTCTCACTCTTGCTTTCTTTCTTACTCTCTCTTTCACTCTCACTCTTCTTCCTCTTTCTCGTTCACTCTCTCTTCTTCTCTCAATCTTTTTCTGTCTCTTCCACTCTCTCTTCTTCTCTCAATCTTTTCTGTCTCTTTCACTCACTTTTGTTCTCTTACTCTCTTTCTCGCCCGTACTCATTCCTCTCTCGTTCTCTTTCTCTCTTTTTTACTCTGTATTTCTCTTTAATTCTCACTCTCTGTCTCCCTTACACGCCCTCTCTCTCACTCCTTCACTCTCTCACTCTCTCTCCTTCTCTCTCGCACTCTTTCTCTCTCCTCTTCTCCCTCACTCACTCTCTCTCCCCCTCTCTCTCCCTCTCTCTGTCCCTCTCTCTTTCTCTCTCCCCCCTCTTCCTTTTCTTTTTCCTTTTGCCGCCATTCGTTGTTCGCAGCGCCGCCACGAGGAGAGGCAGAGTTTCTCTCTCCGAGGCCCCGTCGAGTCTTCGGGTTCGTTGTTTGGAATGAGTAAACGCCGTGGAATTCGACGCTTCGAGCGGGGCGACCGGGCCCGAGCTCTCGGACTGCGGACAGGTGTAGCGCCAGCACCTGCTGCCTCTGTTCCGCGGACCACTCGAGATCCAGTCCGGGGCCTCATGCCCTCGGAATCATCCTCGCCGGAATACTCTTCTGATCGCCAGCCGAGAACTCGACTCCTTCCACAAATCTGATTGACAGTCGTTCGACATCCATGCAGAAATCAGCTCTTTTCAGTCGAGATATGCGAGACTAACGATTTGTACAGCGTTGACTGGAAAGCGTATCTCTATTTGCAAAATAGAGCATTCTGCCGAGCATAGTAGAACCTTTGGTTGAACTTAGCGAAGACAGTGAATTGAGCGAACTCGGATTGACATTTGAGTTGAACGCTATTTTCGACCGAAGGCGTCCAAAGACAATAATTTAAAGGGCATCTTTCAACAATTTTTAATAAAAATTACTTTGTACTTTATTACATGTACTTCCTCTGTAATCGCTTCTCGACGTTTGCTATAGTCATCACGAAATTAATTCGGTAAATTGAATAATACAAAATATCGGTAAAAATAGTGTTAACATTACCTAATCGCAATTTGGATATTCTGAATGTTTGTTGAGAAAATCAGGAAAGATTTGATTTATCACTGCATCTAAGGTATTATTCGATTATTCTATTCCCCATCCTTAGTTAAAATGTCTTATCTATTGATTTGCCAGTTCTCAGGATATCTTAAAATATTTACAACAACTCGTGTGTGTTATCTGTAGAATTTTTTATATACTTCATGGAGTCCCAAATGTAATTCCATTTATTCGTTTGCATTTATGTCTTTTGATAGCACGATATTGAAGGAACAGTTCGTGATGAATATCTGACAAGAATTTAATGAGAATTGGTGGTGCATTAATATTTGTGGCGACATTTTTTTCAAATTCTTAAAGACAAATTGTGCGAGTTCTTAGTGACGAATGTATGTTACAATTGGACTGCGGGTTGTACGCATTTATGACAAAAAACAATAGGCCAAATACAAAACTGTATCAACATTAGAAGAATTCAAGGTTATTTTTGCATTGTTTTCAACTTATTGCAATCGTTGAAAGAGGAAAAACATTTTCTAACTTACGTTTCTTACAATTTACTTGGACAATTTTTATTTTACACGAAGAGCCGCAGTCTAGTTACAACAGCTATGCAATTTGAATTCTTTTCGGATTACCACTGTGCATGTGACATTTGGGACCACAACGACAGGGGATAAAGTTACGATCTGCAGGTTCACTCTGTAAACACGATCGTTAATTCGTTTACAACTTGACGATCTCTTCTGGAGACACAGTGTTTGTTTGCTACTTAGCATCGGCCAGAAATCCCGAAGATGCAGAGTAATGAAACCTTGCTCGACTTTAGTAGGCTTATTGAACGATGTTTAATGAGATAGAGAGACACCTCGGATCTAATGTAGAGTATAGAAAAATTGTTTTACAGGGTGTTTCACCTGAAATGTGATATCGTTTCCAACTGCGATGCATCAAGCATCGGGTAATAGAAGAATTAGATAACGCTAGGTAGCAACTGTTTTATATTGTTTCATAAAAATAAAAAGCATATGTTTATTGCGATTTTTAGCGATTTTTATCATAGCATATAATCGTGGACAAATATACACTTGCGGACAAAAGTTAAGAATTGAATAACATTTGACTAAAATTAACATTTGAATAAAATTTGATATTTTAATACGCGCGAAATATTAATCCCTTGACCCCTTATTAACCCCTTTACATACCATTCTCTTCGCAGTTACTGCAATTAGAAAATTTTCAATTGCAATAATTTCTTCGAAGGGAAAGAAAATTGATGCTTGTTGTGTGCCAACATTTAGGCACAAGTAAATTTTTACTTGAATGCTTAAATATTGATGACAAGAGATTCGAATTTTATTCCAATTTTAAAGAATGGAATAACGTCTATACTCAATAAGTTATTACTAAAAATTTTCGCGACGATTCGAACTCAAGTACAACTACAAAGTATGGCAAGAGGTTATATTAAAAGTGTGCATATTATAATGGAGTATTTAATACATTGTTGATATTGCAATATTGTTTTATTCACTGTGTACGACAAATAGAAAAAATAATAAAACAATTTTAAAATAAGAAAAAGGAAAATAAAAAATAAGAATTAAATTTATATCTTCGTTGACGCAATACAAATCTTTATCCTATCTTATGAATGTTTACTACACCCACGAATACGCATCTGTGTAATGCGTCTCTTCATTTTTGTCCGTAAGCGTATGAGGGCACTTTCTAAAACGGAATATAGCTTTTCCAAAATTGGACCAAACGATTCGAATCTTTTGGAGATAATGGAAGGACTAGTTTGCTAGATAATGCATAACAAAATTTTTGCGAACAAAGAATCACATTCTCCAACATTTTTATCCGAGTAACTTGCGAGTTACACAGTTCTCACGACAAAAACTAGAATAAATCTAGAGATTTTGTTACCTTCCAATGGGTGTTGCTTGTTTTTTGTTGCCATTTGTTGTCATTACATCTAGCAAATTAGTCCTTAGCAAATTAGTCTTAAAAATATATTCAAGCGAATTGGTCCAATTTAACGAGAATTATGTACTCCGTTTTAAAAGGTGTTCACATGTATAATATTTGTCCATGGTTGATACGTCGAATGTAACAGATTCATTGAATAAATATCCAATAAATGTATTTTGAAGCCTAGTGTTAATTACAACGCCGGACATAATCTCTATCGATCGATACAGTAAATCGTTTCGAACGCGGGTTGACTCGGTCGAGCTGATTGCAGGCGAAACGTATTGGAACAATAGCGAATGTTCATAGATGATTGTTCCACTGTACATAGAAAATTTCAAATAGTTTTAAGGCAAAGCAAATTTCCCGAGAAACTAAAGAGGAGGTCATCCTGTTGCAGGTGGAACCATCTGCATACGTTCTGCGCTTCGGAAGCAAACCGCAATCCTCTCAGCACATTCCCAGGACAGAACGAATTCCCCGCACCGACAACGACAACAGCAACAACCAGCGCACTATCTAATCAACTTCGACCAACAAATTCGATTACCGCAGTCCCGACTGGCTGACACACAATCCCACCGTTAAGACAATTCGTTCTCATCCTTCCGCCCCGCCCTTAGGAAAGCCTCCGACAAGTTCACGAATCCAGGAGCGAGAACAGAAGGACCTGTCCGCGTTTCGTAACAAGAAACGCACAGTGGTCGATGTTTCTAAAAAGTGGGACAAAAATCGGTCAGTGTCGCTGTTGTCGGCTATAATGATTTGACATCATCGCTGAGCGTAATAATGGCTTCATTCGTAGAAAAGCCCATGAGGCCAACTATTGCGGTGCCCAACGTAATTCGAAGTATAAGAGACAGATCTAATATTTATTTTCAGATATTTTTTAGTTCGGTTAAAATTATTGATCTCCCATTTTTCTTTTACAACTCCTGGCATTACAAAAATGTTTCTAAGAGAAATTGATAAACGAACTTCTTTATTCAAGCTTATATTATATTCGAAAACGTACGAAGTTTGAATAAATCGAATCTTGCAACTGTTATAAAACAATATACATTAAATATATACTAAACCTACCACGGTGAAATGACCGGTTTTTTTAGTTTACAATCATAAAAGTTGTACAAACACTTTCGTTTTAAATTGTTGAATGAATTACATCACCGGAGCAACTACTGTAATAAAAATCGTACAAAATCTAAATAAATTGGATCTTCTCACTTTTACGAGGACCAATGCACCCCGATCAAGGTCACTGCACGGTAGGTTTATTGTTAGGGTATTTTTTAAGATATTTCCCTCGAGAGATGAAAATGAGACATCGTTGGGCTTATTTACGACTTCGAGCACATAGAACTAAGCCAACCCCAAAGAGCTGTAGCCACTTTTCGATTCTTCAACTGCAATAAAGAATATTGGAATCGTATGCAACAAGAAACAAATCATTCCAACACATTCGAAAAAAAGTTACGTGCCAGTATTATACGAGAAATCGAACCTAAACGATTCGTTGATCAATGTAATATATGAAAGTCGCATTCAGAATCAGTTTCCAAAATAATTCTGAACTTTACTTTACTTTCAGACGTTAAGCGATCTCCAATCGTTCGAACTGTTTCGCTTATAATTGGGACAGAGCAACGCTTATCAACGTATCAGACAGTAATAGATCAAGTTACACGATCATTTCCAATCTACAAACTCGTCTATTTTCTCAATTTCGTCTTATTATTAATGGTTATCGACCACTGTGCGTCACCGGTCCTTCACGGAAGAGTTCCCACCTGAAGCGCAGCCGAGCTCGTTGCTCCTGCTGGAAGGTTTCAGCGTACGCTAACAGCTTCTCAGCCGGTGATCCGCTACCGATTACGTTTCCAATTACCCCGATCGTTGGTTCGCCAACACCGGAGCGACCCTGACGACGAAAACCGCGTGTCTCCACGATCGGAGTGCGTTGTTCGTTGTCGTTCGTCCGAGTTCGTCGACGATCGCTGACGCTTCTCGACGATCGCCGATGTTCCACGACGATCGCTGACGCTTCCCGGCGTTCGTTAACAGCTTTACCAATGATCCAGGGTGTGCAGCAGGGATCGAAATGTGGGATCGATTGGGCCCGCGGTTCGTCGGAGCACCTACCTTTCCCGATCGGTGGAACCGGTTCGCCTTTACGACGGAACGAACGGCGTTGATCAACGCCTCGTTGATCGCGATCACTGACGGTGACGCAGCCTCGACGTCGATCCGTTCACGAGGTTGTGCACTCCGTATTCCGGTAACCAGGGCCGATAATCCACGTGCGACCGCATAGAACCACCACTGTCCTCTTTCGCCGGAGGTTTTCTCTCGGGGATCGTAGAATAGACAGATAAAGAAAGACGAGGGATAAAGACAGAATAGAGGGGGTGGGGGGTGAGACGACGGCCAAGGGGTGGAGACGATCTCGCCCTTAGGCGGGCCACCAGGAAGTTTTAGGGGACCGGGTTCCGCTCAGGAGAGCGCGATCGGCACGCGGGCACCGCGTACCCCGTGCCTGGCTCGTTCCGTCAACATTTCCGGTGAACGATCTCTCTCTGCTTGCCACGATCCAGGCCGGAAGTAAACACCGATGCGTGTGACACCGTCGATCGGCCGAGCGTGCTCGATGGATCCGTACACGGCGGCCGACGAGCTGAGACTGAGCGGCTTGCGCGCCAATAGAGAGACCAGAAACACACACGGAACAACACCGATCGCGATCCACGCGAGCACTATAGCGTCCGCGAAGCCACGGCCCGGAGGGGAATATCGGGGAGCTTTCTCTGTGTGCGCGGATGTAGGTGTCCGTAGGTGAGCAAGAGCTTGTGGTCGGCTCTGCGTCAGACGGAGGAGGACTCGCGGAGGTAAACGTGCGCCCGATTCAGAGCGCGCCAGCGCGCAACTAACAGATACGTATGCTGGACGAGCGAGGATTCGGTCTTTGGTCGGCGAGAATTTTTTCGCAATTTTTTTTAGGACATTTTTATCATTTTCTACGAATTTCTTCGGAACTTTTTACGAATTTTTTCGTTCAAGAAAGAAATCTTATTCGAAGATCTGTATTCGAAAGTAAACGAGAGGAAAGAATAAACAAATTCAATGTGGTTTATTCGATAAGCGTAAATTGAAGTGCGCCCGAAAGCAAACCAGAAACTCGGCGATTGGTCACCCGGCTACACTACCCTCGGTTAAATTTGTATATTGATCGAGAATAAGAGTCCTCGCACGAAAAAGGGCCGATAAGGAGCAGAATTTTGGTCATTACGTTGAGACCAGGAAATCTAAAGTGTGACGACAACGAAAGAAACTTTTTTAAGACAATTTTCTCAAGTCGATCAATGAATGCGAACCGTTCATATCGCTACGGTAGCGCTTTAAGAGTTTTATTGATCCTCGTGAACTGTGTTGCATGTCCATTGTTGGATTATTTTATTCTTGATTTACGTCAGTTATAACGTGCGTAAATTTAGCAACATTTTTATTAAATTAATAGCTTCCATAAGTGGAACAATCTTTTTATAGAGGACATTAAAAGAAATTTGTATTTTTATCTTTCAGAAAATTCAACAAATCTTTCCTGTCTATATATTGGTAATGTACTATGTTTATTACTGTTTAATATATTATGTATATTACTGTGTTTTATATTTATTATTGTGAACA